TAAACACCTAGAATACAATGAATATACACAGGTCTATAAGAGGAACGAAGCAAAAGATAAAATAATAGCACAGGTTTAAAAAAATACAAATTGCTTACAACTACAATATTATAAGATGCACAATGATTTTTCGACTTACATGTCCGTTTATCAGCAGAATCAATGTACTCAAACATATCGTTGCAATAATATATGGGAAATAACACACCAAAAAATATTACTCCTAACACAAATACTGCAAAGAGAAACCAATCAGCTTCTGCATTGAGAGCAAAAGCATATCATTTGTGCAGTGCACATGAACAGTTTTCTGCTCCAATTTCAGCTTCAAGGCATGGAGGTTTGGAATTCTCGGTACCATTCTAACCGAGCTTGAACAAAGATTAAAGAATTAATTCGGTATAATTCTAATCGGTACCATTCTAACCGATGTAAAATTAATTCCTCTCGATTCTTGAAACATACCTCGTTTTGACGCTTCAAAAAATTTAGATCCGAAATACCTTTTTTCACAAAATTGGAGACTTTCCTTCATTGATAGAGTAGCTATACAATTCCTTTCCTTCGGCGAAGAGATCACACGAAAAATCCGTGATATTTTTGGAAAAGAATCAGCCGCGATGGGTGGGTTGATGCGATTAAAGTTTCTGCGCGTGGAGATTAGAAGAGGACGGGATTTTCTTAGATCCGAAAGTCTTTAGCCTAGAACGGTCTGAGAATAGGACGCGTGTAATCTGATGTGTCTCAATAATAAAGCTCTAAAATTGACACGTGTCATCATTCTAGATTATCAACTCTCAAATATTATATTAAAGGATTTGAACTTGTGCATTGTGAATAAAAACCTCATTTTGGAACATACGAGATAGGGTAGTAGACTTGTTATTAGTGAATATATCGGTTCGATTCGAACATTCAAATATTTCAACTGTTTTTAGAGGTATTTGTATTATGGCACGGTTCAAATGACATTGAACTCAATGTCATAGCATGACCTAAGCTTTCTAAGAAGCTCTTTGGATTAAATTGATGGCTCTGCGGAGATCGGTTCATGGTTTGACATTCAAATGGAATGTCTCACGAACCCTGGAGTTTGTATTAATATTCATTTAAAATTGAATATCAAATTAATACCTATTTGATTCGTAATTTCATTCGAATATATCCGATCCCAACATTAGAATTGAGAATTCTTATGCTACGACGTTCAAACATAACAATGTAATTAATTGCCTCAAATAAAATATATTTTTCACAAAATTTAATCATTAAAAATAATGTATTTTAGTTTTATCAAAGATATTTCTACTCCGTATTAAATCTAACTACTATTATATTACTTTTGCTAAATTTTCAATTTCACAAAATATGAGTTTTAAAAATGTGTATACTAATAACTAAATAGTTTCAAAAAATATGAGTTTTAAAAATACGTATACTAATAACTAAATAGTTTTATTTATATAAAACTAAGAGTGCTTCTTTGATACACCTTGGGTTCTTCCGTGCATACAACTTTTGTGAACCTTCTCACATAAAAAATGTTATATGTTTATCTAAGTACTAAAGAAATGCTTATTTTACTTATATGTACATTAATGGTGGATCTTAGGTCCACCATAGAACTTTCCAAAAACTAAATACTCCTTCTGTTCCACAAAATCCTTTCCCTTTTGTTTTTTTGTTTTCTACAAAACACTTCCACTTTCTATTAAAAAAACTACTTTTACCCCTACTTTTTCATACTCTACCTATCACATCATACTTTTTTCACTAATAACCAAACTATCACATCTTACTTTTTTCCATCACATCAAGAGCAAAATTGGAAAGTCAACCAAAATTACACTTTTCTTATTTTTGCCCAAAGTCAAAATGGGAATGGTTTTGTGGAACGGAGGGAGTAGTTATTTGTATAGATATTTGTTTATTGATTGATGCTTACATGGTCCTAAGGTACACATTTAAAATATGGATTTTCTCATATTTTTCATGGACTTGCATGTGAATAATTTCTTTTTTGAAAAAGGTTCGTTCCTTTTTTGCTACAAATGCATTAAAGTCCATATAATGAACATAGATTTTAGGTCCACAGAAGAATTTGCCTAGTTTATTTGAAATTTAAATACCACTATACTATTGTATTCATGTTCAATTCATTTAATATTCAAACCAAAATATAAATTTATATATATATATATATATATATATATATATATATATATATATATATATATTTGAATTTGCATTTGAATCATCATATTCAAATACAAATGGCAAATGTTTACTTGGTTTACAACTCATATTCCTCACTAGTGTGTCGCGTTTTGTTTGCCTAATGTGATATTTTGAAGATCTGGTCAATTTTGATCTGAATAGATTTGATCTGGTCTAATTTCATTTGATATGATCTCATTATGATTATATTTAAAGTTATTTCTGATGTGATCTGATTGAATATAATCTAAACTAATTTGATCTAATTTCATTTCAATAAGAATTAACAATAAACTGAAAAATAAATTAAACGGAATGTACCCTAATCAAGTATGGCTTTTATCGTTGCCCTAAAAAGTGATTGCACTAGATTAAGATACTTTTTATTGCTTTAAATGAAGATCAATTTATTACACAGTGACTATCCATATAAATATATAACCTACATTTATAAAATAAATTTGTTTCTAAAGTGGGGAATTAAATAGATATTTCGTGTGTTTAATATTTCTATGAACTTATTATGGTAAAATGTTGATGTTCAAACAACTAATTAATGCCACTATACTATTTGGTGGGGTTTCCAAACAAGTCTAATTTGATTGCCCTATTCCCTAAGTGGCACCAATTACCAAAAGTAATTAGGAGTAGCCGAGTAGTGTAGGAAATAAAAACACACAACACACACAAATAATCTGTGAGAAACGAGAGAAACGGAACACAAACGACACACAAGAATTTAACGTGGTTCGGTTTCCCTAATCCACGGATACAACAGGAGGATTTTCTTATTTAAATTGTGGTGCCAATTACAAGTACAAGTATGCAATATATATAGGAAGAGTGCATCTAGGATTTCGTAAAATGGGCCGGGCCAAAAGTCAAGCCCAAGCCTCCACAAACCCAACATTCTCCCACTTGGAGGCTTGATAGTCATCAACTGCCATCCACCATGATTTCCTGTACATCGAGTAATCTTCCTCAGCTCTCCTATTGCAGCGGCCCTATCATCAGACAACTGAAAGGCCCGTTGAAGCTCTCCTAAGCTCCAACACATCAGTCACGGCAAAATCTGCCCCTGACTCGTCCTTGGTCCCTACCGGCTCCCACTGCAGACGCACACTGCCGGATCCGGGAACATCCTGAGAACAAACAATCTCCGTACTCAGCAAGAAATTTTCTGGAGATGTTCCAACAGCTGGAATACTGGTTCTCCTGACCCACTGTCTTCTAGGCAACTTGGCTGAAGCGCATCTTGAGCTCCCACTGCCACAAATACCTTTGACGAGCCTCCTTGAACCTTTCCATGCTCGTTCATCCTGAGTGTGACCAATGGCTCTAGGTTTCTCTCTTGCACAGACAACCTTATTCTGCCCACGAGACTCTGTGAACCGGACTTCGTTTTTCTTCTGAACTGGGACGGTCACTCCCTCAGATGGTAACTCGACCATATACAACGAACCTCTCTTCCTTCCACGGGCCATGACAAGATTTCCCTTCATGACCTTCCACTGCCCATCTCTGAACTTCACCTCGTGTCCCTGTTCGTCCAACTGCCTGACAGAAATCAAACTTTTCTTCAAGGCTGGAACAACTTTGACATCCTTCAAAGTCCAGAAACCGACTGGGGTCTTCAACACTATGTCCCCCATGCCTGTCACATCAAGAGCTTTGTCGTCTGCTAGTCGTACCTTTCCAAAGTCTCTAATATCCAGATTCTGCAATGCTTCACCGCTGTGGGTGACATGAAATGAAGCACCAGAATCCATGACCCACCTTAGGTGTAACGAAAGGAGTGTCGTTCAGTCTCGCTGGAGGAGCAGTGAGCGTCTCGGAACTCGTTACAAATGAAAGAATAGTAAGCCTGTAACTAAGGATTTTACGGGATGGAGGAACGTGAAGGTCGTGCAATGTGGACTCGACAGTGCTCAGAAGCTGACTGACCTTTGTCTGTTCCTGCTCCCACTACCTCTGTTATATCTTCTGCCTCTACCAACATGAAGCAATTCACCAGATGACTCCCGTGAACTCTTTCTTCTGACATCCTCGCCAAGAACGAGATCTCGAATCTGATCAAAGGTGAATTCATCGGGTCCCACTGAACCGGTAACTGCTGTAACCGTTCCGGACCAACTATTAGGTAAAGACGATAGCAGTAGTAAAGCTTGAACTTCATCATCGAACTTAATGCCCACTGACAATAGTCTGGCTAAGATCGAATTCAACTTGTTGATATGCTCGGTAACTGAAGTGCCTTCTTTCATTTTTGTGTTCACCAGCTCTCTTATCAGAAAAACTTTGTTCGCTGCAGATGACTACTCGTACATGTTAGACAGCGCATCCATAGTTCCCTTCGCTGTCTTTTCCTTCAGAATGTTGAACGCAACATTCTTGGTCAACGAGAGACGGATCACTGACATAGCTTTCCGATCCAAACTTGCCCAATCTGCATCCGACATTTTTTATAGCTTGTCACCCAAAACTACGTCCAAATCTTTCTGAACCAGCAAATCTTCAATTTGCATCTTCCACCAACTGAAATCTGTACCATCGAACTTCTCAATTCGGAACTTCCCATCTTCTGTCATATCAAACGACTAGACGAGATACCCGGTACAAAAAATTTCAGATCTTGGTAATTTTGTCAGAAAATTAGGCCCACCACACCAATTAAATTAGCCAAAATAAATCAGCCCAATATCCACCCACAAGAAAGTACGGCCCAATCCAATTGAGCCCAAAAAAATGTTTGACCAATTAAAACTCAAATTTGGCCCACTGACTTTTTTTTCCAACGGGGTCATGTTCTGTGCGCTAGGGCAATAGTCGGCAACAGCAAAACGACGGCGGTGGCACAAAGTCTGGACGGCGGTGACGGCTCGCAGCTAGCGATCTCGACGGACGGTTCCCGACGGCGGCAGCTCCTTCTGCCGCTGCTTCTGCGTGCGACTGTCCATGCGCAAACGACAGCGGCGATCCTCGCGGCAAGACCCAGCGGCGACGATCTGAAACGGCGTGGCTTCGCGGCGGCTCTGAGGCAGGACTACCTTCTGCACGGCTCTGCGGCTGGACTGCCTTCTGCACGGGCCTCGCGATCCAAGAGGTCGACGGCAGCGCTAGAAGGGATGCAGCGGCGGCTCGCAAACGGTGGCGAACACCTGCGCAGATCTCCCCTACTCGAACAGGCGGCGCTACACTCCTTCACAGCGGCTCCTATTTTTCTTCAGGAGCACGATCCAGCCTTCAGATATGTAAAACCCTAGGTGACAACTCGCAATTTGTGTTCGTGTTGAACAACAATCTAGCTCCAATACCACTTGTAGGGAATAAAAACACACAACACACACAAATAATCTGTGAGAAACGAGAGAAACGGAACACAAACGACACACAAGAATTTAACGTGGTTCGGTTTTCCTAATCCACGGATACAACAGGAGGATTTTCTTATTTAACTTGTGGTGCCAATGACAAGTACAAGTATGCAATATATATAGGAAGAGTGCATTTAGGGTTTCGTAAAATGGGCCGGGCCAAAAGTCAATCCCAAGCCTCCACAAACCCAACAAGTAGATAATTACCAAAAATAATACGGAGTAATTAGGTGCCTGGCAATTCTTCACCGTTTCTTTTGAGAAAAAATGAATATGTGCATGGAAATTCTTCTCTCTTTTAAACTATCCATTATTTATTTTTAACATTTTTCTTTAAGTTCAATGAAGAAAAATATTGAATTATTTAAGAATGAAGTAATGCATTGTTTTGATGCTAAATTAAAGTGTTTTTATGTGGGCTATACTTGGTGAACAATATTTTACTTAACATTATACTCTATGTTAGAATATAAATAAGTGTTCTTGGGCCACAACCACAAGCTTGAGGTTTTGGTTGAATTGGTTTCTTGACATGCTTTTTTTGAATAAAAGAGATATACAAAGTATGTATTTATAGGTGAAGGAATATATTCTAGAATCCTCCACATTAATGACTAATTATATAAAGTAATATTATATAATAATAACTCTAACTATAATAGGTAACAACCATAATTATAATATATAATACTAAATATATTAAAATCATTAATATATTTAACATGCTACCAACGTCTTGGGAGGTGAAGATTGAACGCCTACTTTTAGTTGAATCGTGACGAGAATTGTAATCAGAAGCTAGAGGTATATATTCTGCTTGAGTAGACTGAATGCATCCGGCCCAGAAGAGAAGAAGAAAGATAGCCAGGAAAGAGATCTGATGGCGTTGATGAGGAGAGGAGAAACGCCGCTGCGAACAGACTCATGCTGCTAACGTCGAAAGAGGGAGAAGGTTGACGTGCGCTAGAGACGTGCACGACTAATTTATGGAAGAAAGAAAAAGAATGAAGTGTTGCTAGGGTTGCTTGTTAACTGAAGATATGCCTACTGAGCAAGTTGATGTGACAATCTCATCTTAAATCAAGAAGCGACGGTGATGGATCTAGAAACAGACGGTTGTGGTTGGCTGAGAATATTTTTTTTGCTAGATGGAATTATGAAAGAATTAGGATCAAAGGAAGAACAATAATCTAAGTAAAAGTGGGGCCGTCGTCGCCGGACAAACCACCGGCAACGGCGGCGGTGGAAGCAAAAACTATTAGGTCACCAAGAGCAAAGGCTCTAATACCATCTAAAAGGAACTGATTCAACCAAAAGCTCAAGCTTGTAGTTGTGGCCCAGGAACAGTTATTTATATTGTAACACGCCCCCTCACGTGCATGCGTAGTCTTTTTCGAGACTTGCACGTGAAACCTTAATTTTTTTTAACTGGGTGGCGCTAAGTTTTGAATCCGTGACCTCTTAGTCAACGAGGCTCTGATACCATGTCAAGGAACCAATTCAACCAAAAGCTCAAGCTTGTGGTTGTGGCCCAGGAACAATTATTTATATTCTAACACGCCTCCTCACGTGCAGGCGTAGTCTTTTTCGAGCCTTGCACGTAAAACCTTAATTTTTTTAAAATTGGGTGGCGCTGAGTTTCGAACCCGTAACCTCTTAGTCAACGAGGCTCTGATACCATGTTAAGGAACCAACTCAACCATAATTATAATATACAATACTAAATATATTAAAATCATTAATATATTTAACACTCTATATGTCCCTAAAAATTATTCTTCTTTTATTTTTCAGTTGTTCAGTTGTCCCAAAAAACTTCTCTCTTTAATTTATTTGCCCTTTTTTTCTAAATCCAACTTAGCGTATCGTAGTTCTCTTCTATGTCTTCCCTATTCTAATATTCCTCAAACTCTACTCCTATCAATAGTCATTATTTACCTTTGGTTGAGTGTCTATAATTTTTCCTATCAAAGTCAAAATATGATATGTTTTTAAGGTCGGTGGAAGTTTTTTTTAAGTTTTTAAATATTTTTTACTCTAATAAATAGAAGTGTTTTTATGTGGACTATATTTGACCAACAACATTGTATTTAAAATTATGTTTTCTTAGTGTTCTTTTATTTAGACTTCGTGAAAAGAAATTTTTTTTATGTAAATAAATGAGAAGTATAAAAAAATCTGCAATACACATGTAGACTACCTTAACATCACTAATGAGAGAAGCACAAGTGCACAACGCTTGAGTTTTTTAGCATTTGGCAAAGTACTCCGATCCGTACTTAGCTTCGTACTTGTCTAAATCATGGTTTTGTGTTTCAAAAGATTTAAATCGTAATAACTTTGTATTTTTCTAAATTAGTTTCAAGATACATTATTTACGGAAATGATATTCGTTAGTTGAGAATTATGTTCGTTTTAGAGGGTGTTTGGGAGTGATTAGTTTATGGATAAAGTGATTTCTACAAAAGCTGAAAACAAAAACATCTCATCCCTGCTTCTCCGAAACGGTGTTCCATGTACAAAATAATGTTGGTGAAAAGCAGAAGCTGACATGACAAACAGAGTAAAATCACTTCCACTCAAAGTAGAAACTAAATTGTTAAAAGCAGCGCACTGCCAAACACCCTCTTAGTCTTCCAACTAATGACCGTCAAAACGATGCTAAAAATTAAAACTTATACGGAGTAGTAATTTTTCAAAATAGTCATTTCAAATTGGATGTTTTCTCAATTTGGTCCATTTTTTAAATAAAAAAAACTCATTAAATATAAAAATAATTTAAATTCTATAGGATGATAATATATTAAATAAAAGTATAAACACAATATAATTTGTTAAATTCCGGTGGGCCGAGAACAACAAACAGAGTGTTAGGTAAAATTATTTACTTGCATATAAAGTCAGGATCCACTTTCTAACTTAAAAGTTTAAGTTGATAGGTAGAACTTCACTCATCCATATACACTAGTGATATTTTAATTTATTACGCTTTTTGATGTGGGAACTCGAACACTCCTCTTCAGTGGTAAATAGTTTGACCTAGTTAGAACTTGAATAAACATGTTTTAGCAAGTGATCAATCTTTCATAGCTAGACCACATAAAATCCGGTGACATCTCGATCTCTTATGTTCAACTCCATCCAAACTAGAGACAGGTACAAGGGTGGATTTCCCCTATTGAAAAAATGTGGTCCGTGCCCCCAAATTCTCATAGCATTTTTGCCCCTAGTCCTTGCGATTCTTCGATCTGCCACTGAACGGGTAGCTCATATGGTTAAACCTAACTCATGTCCAAAGAACCAGGAAGAGTCGAATTCGAACCGAACCTGCTCCGATACCATGTTAAAATTTCGGTAGATCGAGAACACCGGGTAGAGTGTCAGGTGAAATTAAGTACTCGCATATAAAGTTGGGATTTACCTTCTAATAGCCGAAAAGTTTAAGCTGATTGGTAGAGATCAATTTTTCTACACACACACACAGATACATACATATGTACACACACACACACACACACATATATATGTATGTGTGTGTGTGTGTATACACACACATACATACTCCCTCCGTCCGGAAATGTTCTTTCCATTCGATTTTTTATGGTCTCCAAGATTGTACTTTGACCACTAATATCTTTATTTGTGTATGGATATATTTTATAAAAATTTGATATTTGAAAACTATATTTCAAAATGATTATATTTATATTAAAGTTATATCGTAATAGAATATATTTTTTCCACATATCATAGTCAAAGTTTATAAACTTTGACCAAGAAAAGTCAAATAGAAAGAATATTTCCGGACGGAGGGAGTACTAGTGATATTTAATT